GCAACATCAACAACAACAACAACAATATTATTATTATTACTACAACAACAACAATAACAATTATGTGACGTCAACCCAACAAAACAACAACAACAATATTTTTTATACAACATCAACAACATTATCTGTACTACAACAACAATATGACGTCACCGTCACCACAACAACAACAACAACACAACAACAACACAACAACAATGATGACAACAACACAACAACAACAACACGACAACAACAATGATGACAAATGTACACACGCAGCAAAACTTGGCAAAGACGGTCGGCCAGAGCAATGCAAGCCAATCACCAAAGTTGATTATAGATCTGTGAGGAATGGGTGAGTTATGATGGTGATGGGACGATGATAATGATGATGATGATGATGACGGGTAAGTTATGATAGTGATGGGACGATGATGATGATGGTGGTGGTGAGTTATGATTATGATGGTGATGGGACGATGATGATGATGATGACGACGATGATGATGGTGATGATGACGGCAATGATGATAATGATGTTACAATTTTTTTTAGTTGAGTGTATTTAAATTCAATCATTCATCTGCACCGAATAAATATTTTTTTGTTAGTTTATTAACTTCCAAGAAAAATATAGATTGCGCAATCACGATCATCATCATCACCACTTCATCATCATCATTACCATTTTATCATCATCATCACCACCACGACCGCAACAACATCATCACCATCATTTCAATCCTATCAACATCATCCCCCTCACAGAATCAATATCACCATCATCATCACTACAACAAGATCATTATCATCATCACCATCTCACACCACTACCACCATCATCACCACCATCATCACCACCACGATCTCACCCCATCACCACCATCATCACCACCGCCACTACCACCTTCACTACTAGAGAGCCCTTCATAATCTTCAGCGGGGGTACAATAGTGGCGAACCCCACACCCAGCCTGACCGTCATGCATGGCAACAACATGACGGTCCTCGAGATGGAACACAACGTAGTCGACTTCCTCGTACTCTGCTCCACACCCTGGAATAATGGTCCTCCTGATGATGATGTGGTGGTCTGCTGCTGCTGATGGTGGTGGTGATGATGGTGGTTGTGGTTTTGGTAACAATGGCGGTGATGACGATGACGATGGTGATGATGGTGGTGGAGGTGGTGGTGGTGAGAACTTGTCAAAATGAAACATGACGTCGTCAATTTTTTGGCTTTCTGCCCTAAGCCATAAAATAATTGGGATGATGATGACGATGACGATAAAGATGACGATGATGATTTTAGAAATGTTTGTGGTGATGATGTCACTCAACTAAAACTACACTTCCTCATCATCATCATCATCACATCATCATCATCATCATGACCAACAACATCATCATCATCACAACAACATTATCACATCATCACATAATCATCAACATCATCATCACCAACAACGACATCATCATCATCACATCATCACAACATCGTCACATCACAACATCATCATCATCAGACTTCCAAGATCCACATGCAGTGGTGGCCCTACTTCAGAACGATTTGGTGGTCGTTGACCTGACCTCACCCGGGTATGTGACCTTGACCTTTCGATAAGGATGAAGGCTCAGTTGATGAAGATTTTCTGGTTTCATGTGACTGATGACAACGAAGCATTATCATTATTATTACTATTACTATTGTTATTATTATATTATTATTATTATTATTATTATATTATATTATTATTATTATTTTATTATTATTATTATTAATATTATTATTATATTATATTATTATTATTATTATTATTAATAATATTATTATTATTTTATTGTTATTATTATAACAACGACGACGCATTATTAATATTATTATTACTATTTTGTTTTATTATTATTATATTATTTTTATTATTATTATTTTTATTTTATTATTATTATTATTACTATTACTATTACTATCACTATTATTTTATTATTATCATTTAATTGTTATTATTATAGTTATTTTTTCGCCAAACCCCCACCTCCCTCAAAAAAAAGCTACCCCTGTTTCGAGAACCCATACCCCATGGATATCCATGAATCGCCAGTGACCGTCTGCTGCTACATAGTCGACTGCCCCCTCGACCTCATCCCGGCGTTCTACTCCGTTGGGAGCAAGCGGAGCAGGGCAGGATACAGTGAGAAGGTTCGGGAAATGAAGGGTGGTGGTCATGAGATGGTGAAGAGGATTTTTGGGATGGTGGTTTTGAGATGGTGGAGAGGATTTTCGTTATGAAATTATTGTTCCTCAACATCATCTTTTCTTCTTCCTCTTCTTCGTCTTATTATTATTCTTATTTTGTTGTTGTTGTCCAGGAATGGCCGATAAATGGAGGCGATTGGGATTTTGGCAACTGCAACTATCCGGAAATTATCATCACGGGGTATGGTGTGACGTCATAACCATTATCGCCATCATCATCATCATTGTCGTCATCATCATCTTCATCATCGTCATCATCATCACTATCATCATCATCACTATCATCGTCGTCATCATCATCAGGCACGCCGACGGTTCAGTGAAGTTTTGGGACGCTTCTGGCGGTCAGTGCGACTTTGATTTCTTGAATCAATCACTCGTTTATTCATTCATTTTACTTGTTCATTCGTTTCGTTTGTGCATTTATTAGGTCATTCATTCATTCGTCGTTCGTTCGTTCATTCGTTTGTTCATTCACTCGTTCATTCGTCGTTTGACCGTTCGTTCGTTTATTCATTCGTTCGTTCGTTTATTCGTTCACACAATCTTTAATTTTTGGTCGTTATTTATTCATAAACCCATTTTATCTCTTCCATCACATTATTTCATTCATTCATTCCAGTTTTCAAATTTTTATTCATTCTTAACTTTGTATCGATCGATCAATCAATCATTTGTCAGTTCAATTTTTGAATTTTTTATTAACTTTTTATAAATTTTTTAATTAAATTCTTTTATCTTTATTATTTTTTAAAATTCGTTTATCATATTTATTCAAATATTCAATAAACATAAAACTAATCAACTAACCAGTCAACCAGTCAATCAATCAACCAACCAACCGACCAATCAATCAATCAACCAACCGACCGACCAACCAGTCAATCAATCAACCAATCAATCAAACCATATTAGCACTTAATCAAATACTAATAAATACTGAAAGATTGATACTTGAAAAACTTTACAAACCCCAGTAACACTCCAAGTTCTCTATAAACTAAAAACCGCCAAAGTATTCGAATCCACGAAAAACCGACTCGATTCGGCAGACGACGACGACGATTCGCCGTTCGCCATCCAGCACATCTACCTCTGCACGGACAGTCGGCTGCTCTGCGTCGCCGGAAGTAGTCATGTTATCCTTTTCCGGTTCTCTAAGCAGGAGGCTGCTGTCGAATGTCCGGTTTGTGGTGATGACATTCTGATGTGTCTTTCTGCAGATATTGAAGATGAGAACGATGATCGTGATGATTCTGATGCTTTTTTTCAGTTTCAAACGTTACCATCATCACCTCATCATCATCATCGTCATCATCGTCATCATCATCACCCAAAGAAACATCATTACCATGACCAGGTAATCGAGATAAGCATAGTTTACGAGGTATGCGATGACTCGACCACACCGGATCACGACCAGCACCCCATCATGTTACCCTCCAAACACAACCTCCACCACCAATCCGGAAGTTTGGGCTCCTACACTAACTTGGGGCCAAGCAATGGGAAGGTTGGTGGTGGTGGTAGTGGTAATGGTGGTTGTGGTGGTGGTTGTGGTAGTGATGGTGGTTTTTTGTTGGAGTTTCAATCACCAGCATATATTTTTGCAGTTATCCTCATCATAATTATAATCGTCTTTTTCACCGTAATTATGGTTTACACCATCAACAACTTTACAATCATCATCTCCACCACAACCACCACTACCACCAACTTCTTCATTTCTACTACCACCACAATCGTCATCCCTACAATCACCACTACCACCAACATCATCATTCCTACTACTACCACCACCACCATTGTCATCATCCCTACAACCACCACCACCATCCCTACAACCATCACCACCACCAACATCGTCATCTCTACAACCACCACCACCACCATCATCATCATCCTCATAACGAAGGATTCCATGACAAGTGTGAAAGCCAGATCGGGTTTGAGAAAGTGGCAGGCTGGCTATCAACCGGAACTCTGCTGCCTACTTACGTGGCTAGACGATGAGCCCTCTCCTCCAATCACCAGTTTGTCACTCAACTCCAAGTTTGGTCTGTAAGTTGATTGGCTGGTCGGTCTGTAAGCTGATTGGCTGATTTGCCAGATCACCAACATCATCATCATTATCACCACTATCATCATTATCATCACCATCATCATCAAGTTGATTGGCTGGTCGGTCTGTAAACTGATTGGCTGATTGGCCAGATCACTATCGTCATCATTATCACCATCATCATCATTATCATCATCATCACCATCATCATCAAGTTGATTGGCTGGTCAGTCTGTAAGTTGATTGGTTGATTTGCCAGATCATCACCATCATCATCATCAGGAGCAGCAGCAACACCATCATCATCACCCTGGTCACCATTTTTTCAAATTTATTTTAAATCATAGGTTAGCGTTTGGCGACGAATGCGGTGTGGCCATTGTCGACATTCTGCAAAAAACCTGTCTTCTTAGCATGGGAACACCAGATCTTTACGGTGAGTAGTGATCAAATTAGCATAAATTAACATAAATTTACATAAGTTAATCAGTATTCATGCATGATTTTCAAAATTAGCATAATTTAACATAAATTAACACAAATTAATCAGTATTCGTGCATGATTTTCAAAGTTTGCATAATTTAACACAAATTAGCATAAATTAACGTAAATTAATCAGTATTCATGCAGGATTTTCCATTTCAGTATGATTAATTATAATAATTATTGCTATTATTGCAGGATCACTGGATCCGTATTCGCGGGCGCCTAGATCGCCCAAGTTGAAATCCAGCATATCCACAAAGCTATCCACACTGGAGCATTTATCCCAAACGACCCTATCCGACGACTGCAAGAGTCCCACTGTTGAACAGGTAGGTGGGGAATGAAGGAATGAATTAATGATTGGATGAATGATTGGATGAATGATTGGATGAATGATTGGATGAATTAATGAAAAAAATGGTTGAATGAGTGAATGTCGAATGAATAGTTGGAATTGAATGAGGAGTTGGATGTATAGTTGAATGAATGAATGAATGAATGAATGAATGAATGAATGAATGAATGAATGAATGAATGAATGAATGAATGAATGAATGAATGAATGAATGAATGAATGAATGAATGAATGAATGAATGAATGAATGAATGAATGAATGAATGAATGTGAATGAATGAATTTAGTAGTAGTAGCTGTAGCGATAGTAGTAGTAGTAGTAGTAGTAATGGTAGTAGTAGTAATGGTAGTAGTAGTAGTAGTAGTAGTAATAGTAGTAGTAGTAGTAGTAGTAGCAGTAGCAGTAGCAGTAGCAGTAGTAGTAGTAGTAATTACTTAATGAGAGCAATGTTTGTTTAAGTAACTTTAACTGATCCAGTAGAGGTCTGGTTATTGGCTTACCTAGTAGCTATAGTAATTGCAAGATAGAAACATCAATAATAACAATTATTATTATTATTATTATTATTTACATACTATTATTATTTACATAGTAATTATATTATTGTTATTATTATTATTATTATTTACCATAATTAACCGTGGCGTGATGTTAAAAGCGTACCGTTAATTGTACGGGGCTTCTAATTTGAAGTGTTGACAAATATGAAAGACACAATAATAATAATAATAATAATAATAATAATAATAATAATAATAATAATAATAATAATAATGATAATAATATAAATAATAATAATAAGAAGAAGAAGTAAGAAAGAACAAAAATTGCCATGGAACTATTATTTGCTAATTAAACATTTCATAAGTGCCGGCCAGCTGTTTGTACGTGTTTTTTGAACTGGGTGTGTGTGCTTGTGTGTGTGTGTGTGTGTGTGTGCGTGTATGTGTGTGCGTGTGTGTGTGTTTTTGTGTATTTTTTTTAAATTTATTTTTTTTAAAATTTTCTTCCACTTTTTTGTTACGATTAATTTTTTTCTGTTTCCGGACCGACCGGTACATACCGACGACTGACAGCTTGATTCGCCCAGCACCTCCACGATCACACGCAGCCCCAAGGATCGACTCCACCTAAAAAGTCACATCTACAATAAAAATCCAACCGCAATTTCGTCCCCACAAATTCTAGTACCCAGGAAAGCAAGTGCCTTTAAAACGATATCTTGCCCGTATACGAACGAGCCACCGGAATTCAATCCGATTCAAACCGCTAAAACCGTATCTATTACCGAACATGATGTAACGAATTATAAAAAAAAAGCTGGTTTTTATTCGGATAGATCCCAACAATCCATCAGTCCAGAGGATCGAAACTATTCGGCAGTAGTGTGCGCTAAAACCGATAAGAGATTCGACAATTTGAATAATCGGAACAGCGGTTTTGTGGAACATCTAACGAGTTTATGCTCCGTCGAAACGGATTTTTCTTATTTATCAGGAAGTAACTTTGATGCAGACCTTGAAGATGAGAACGATGATGGCACTATGAGACGGAAAAAGAGATTCGGAGATGGTGAAGATGGCGCTGAGGATGAAGAAGATGATGATGAAGAGGAAGTGGATGACATTGATGAATGTTTTAAAAAATATTCTAATAATCCTTTGTATAAACTGCCGGTAAACTTAACTCACAAAATTGATGACGACGACGATGGCGACAAGCGGCACGACATTCAGATACATTCTGCCAACAACCTGGCCCTAAAATATCTAAGCAACACGAGTGACTCTGTCTTGAATAAGGGCGATGTAAACGAAGATAAATATTCGAACGATTATTATCGATTTTTAAACGCGAACACGCCCAAAACCGAAATCACCGACAAAAGATTACAATTCCTATCCAATAAATCGGTTAGTGAAGATTTAACGAACGACTCCTTCTGTAACCGACAAAAAGTGATGGAAGGGATGTCGAATAAAAAAAAATCCAACGCTACCAGCAGTCCGGAGATGTGTCAAATCGATTCAAAGACGGATACCGCGTCGAAAAATTTGAAACACTTCGACAGTATAGCAGGCTATCAGACGAATAAAACGCGTTCTAGCCAGGCCGTAGATAATCAAAACTCGACGAAGGAAAGCCTCGAAGGTCACAAGCCGATAAAAAGAACATCTAAATCATTCTCAAGACTCGTCAGCGGGATATTTTCAAAAGTGGTCGGCGTGAATAGCGCGAGTAGTGCTGGCCAAGTTACACCGGCCGTAAATTCTAGCGCGGTTATGATCGCTGCTTCGACAGGCATCGCAGCGATTTCCAGCACTAAAAGTAAAACCGACGACAACCGCGATGACAATGACGATGATGACGACGCGGGCGATTCGCAGTGTCGTTTCGTAACCTTGGACGGAGGGAAAAAAGTGATGGTGAAGAAGAAGAAGAAGATGAAAAAGAAGAGAATAGTGTTTGATGTTATTGATGTCAGCTGTGACGATCCGAAAATATCGCACACCATTCTTTCCTATTCATTTCCGGCGGGTAAATTTATTTTTGTCCATTTTTTAAATTTATTCCTCGATTTTTTTTTTTTAGTTTTTTTAAAAATTATGGCTTCAGAAATACGCCGATTTCATGCACGCACGCATGCAGTACTGTTGCCCTGCATATTATACTTTATTAGTATTTCCGAACGTAAAAAACCCTTGCTTTGACCTATGACATTTGCTGGCTATTTACGCTCCTGTCGTTTTCTTTTGAATCAATAGCAATCAAGAAATATTCATCATTTTTTTTACTCAGTATTTTCATTTTTTATTAATTATGCTTTTGTTTTTTTTAGTTTAATTCTGTTCTTGTTTTTTTGGTTGTTTACAGGCTTTTTTTCATTGCAGTTGGGTTTTTATTTAGAAACTCTTTTCATTGCAGTTGGCTTTTATTTGAGGAATGTTATTTATTCAAGATATTATTAATTTTGTACTACTACCTAGCATGCTGTAACAGTTTCTGCGTCTGTCAGATCATGATTTTTAAAGAATAATAATAATAAAAAAAGATGTAAAATCCATCTTGACCGTACAAACACAGGCAGCATCAATCATACCCAAAACAACTTTTCCAAATCATTTTTTTCCCACCCTAATTTTTCAAACAGAAAAAAAATTAAACGAATTCGCTTGCTTGTTCTAGCGCGAATAAATAAAAAATATTACTTCTTTTATCTAGGTTTTGTTCTCTCTGTCTATCAAGACGCCATATTTTTTGCCGGTGTTCTCATTTTACTTTGATTTTCAAAATTCTTGCCACTTTTTGTGTTTTTGGCTCCAGTTATTTTTTTCAACATTTTGTTTTGCTTTTATTTTTTTATTCTTTTTTTTTGGTGAAACATTTACAAACTTCCTGGCTGCCAAAATCATTTCAAAGCAGGTCGTACTGGATTTTTTTTATGTGCAAATGTATGAGTCCGTTTGATTTATGTTATTTTTTTTCTATTTTTTTAGGTTTTCTCCGCTAGGCTTAGAACATTTTTTATTTTGCTTTGTGGATAATTTGTTTGTGTGTTTGTGTCTGTGTCTGTGTGTGTCTGTGTGTGTTTGTGTCTGTGTGTTTGTGTGTGTTTGTGTCTGTGTGTGTTTAGCGTTTGCGTTCATTAGTGACAGCGTGAAACATTTTTCGTCGTGAATTATCATTTTTTGTTTTTGTTTTTTGTTTGTTTGTTCTTGCTAATTTGTTGATGGAATCGACTTTCGGATAAGTTGCAAATGCGTTTTTAACTGATGGAGAGAAAAAACTTGAAAAAAAGAATGGAAAAACATAGTTTAAGTTAATTAAAGTGATATAAGTTCGGATTAAGAGGCTAAATACTACATAGAACCTCCAACCAACATCTCGATGAAAGTTTAATGGAGAGTTTTCTGCCATACTATCGTTAACATCTAATTTTTTTGCCATGTGTGTGTGTGTGAGTGTGTGTGTATGTGTGTGTGTGCCAGCGTGCGCGTGTGTGTGTGTGTGTAAATATGTTTCTTAACTGGCTTTGCAAATGATTTTTTAAGAAAAATTTGTTAACTATTTTTCTCCCTCCAAAAATGCTTACACAACCTTACTAGTACCCAGGTGAGACTTTGGGAGTTTCATTAATTGAAACATTTTCAGTTTAATTTTTTAGTTTTAAATTGAAAATCTGTTAATTAGATGCTCCATTCTTCATATTTTTTCCTTGGTTTTTCATTTTATATTTTCACTTTTTTCGAA